ATTTTTGCAAAAAAAAAAAAATCTGTCAGTGAACTATAAGTTTTATTAAACTATAATGATAAAAAGGATATTCCCAAATCTAAATTCTGATTGGTTGAGCCACGCTTGAATCCATTATGAAATTCAGTCTATGGCACACGTTCTATAAAGCCCTCTGGCTGTTTGATAACCATAAATGAGCCAAACTGTTTTATTCTAGTCTATTGCTATTAATATATTTAGCACATTGCTGTCTTTTCTCATGTTGCTGCTGCCGCTGAGTGTTACAGTGCTGTTATGGTGACGTGACAGATGTTAGGAAATATTACAGTAATGTTATGGTGATGTGACAGATGTTACGAAATATTACAGTAACGTTATGTTAAGTGACAGATGTTATGAGATATTACAGTAATGTTATGGTGACGTGACAGATGTTACGAGATATTACAGTGATGTCACGATATATTACAGTGATGTCACGATATATTACAGTGATGTTATTGTGATGTTACGATATATCACAGTGCTGTTACGAGATATTACAGTAATGTTATGGTGACGTGACAGATGTTACGAGATATTACAGTAATGTTATGGTGACGTGAACGATGTAACAAGATATTACAGTAATGTTATGTGACAGATGTTACGATATATTACATTAATGTTATGGTGATGTTACAAGATATTACAGTGATGTTACGATATATTACAGTAATGTTATGGTGATGTTACGAGATATTACAGTGATGTTATGGTGATGTTACGAGATATTACAGTGATGTTATGGTGATGTTACGAGATATTACAGTGCTGTTATGGTGATGTTACGAGATATTACAGTGCTGTTATGGTGATGTTACGAGATATTACAGTGATGTTACGGTGATGCTACGATATATTACAGTAATGTTATGGTGATGTTACAAGATGTAACAAGATATTACAGTAATGTTATGTGACAGATGTTACGATATATTAAATTAATGTTATGGTGATGTTACGAGATATTACAGTGATGTTACGATATATTACAGTGATGTTATTGTGATGTTACGATATATTACAGTGCTGTTGCGAGATATTACAGTAATGTTATGGTGATGTTACAAGATATTACAGTGATGTTATGGTGATGTTACGAGATATTACAGTGATGTTATGGTGATGTTACGAGATATTACAGTGATGTTATGGTGATGTTACGAGATATTACAGTGATGTTACGAGATATTACAGTGATGTTATGGTGATGTTACGAGATATTACAGTGATGTTATGGTGATGTTACGAGATATTACAGTAATGTTATGGTGATGTTACAAGATATTACAGTGATGTTATGGTGATGTTACGAGATATTACAGTGATGTTATGGTGATGTTACGAGATATTACAGTGATGTTACGAGATATTACAGTGCTGTTATGGTGATGTTACGGGATATTACAGTGCTATTATGGTGATGTTACGAGATATTACAGTTATGGTGATGTTACGTGATATTACAGTGATGTTATGGTGATGTTACGTGATATTACAGTGATGTTATGGTGATGTTACGAGATATTACAGTGATGTTATGGTGATGTTACGAGATACTACAGTGCTGTTATGGTGATGTTACGAGATATTACAGTGCTGTTATGGTGATGTTACAAGATATTACAGTGCTGTTATGGTGATGTTACGATATATTACAGTGATGTTATGGTGATGTTACGATATATTACAGTGATGTTATGGTGATGTTACAAGATATTACAGTGATGTTATGGTGATGTTACGAGATATTACAGTGATGTTACGAGATATTACAGTGATGTTATGGTGATGTTACGAGATATTACAGTTATGGTGATGTTACGAGATATTACAGTGATGTAATGGTGATGTTACGAGATATTACAGTGATGTTACGAGATATTACAGTGCTGTTTTGGTGATGTTACGGGATGTTACAGTGCTGTTATGGTGATGTTACGAGATATTACAGTTATGGTGATGTTACGTGATATTACAGTGATGTTATGGTGATGTTACGATATATTACAGTGCTGTTATGGTGATGTTACGAGATATTACAGTGATGTTATGGTGATGTTACGAGATACTACAGTGCTGTTATGGTGATGTTACGAGATACTACAGTGCTGTTATGGTGATGTTACGAGATACTACAGTGCTGTTATGGTGATGTTACGAGATATTACAGTGCTGTTATGGTGATGTTACGAGATATTACAGTGCTGTTATGGTGATGTTACGAGATATTACAGTGATGTTATGGTGATGTTACGAGATACTACAGTGCTGTTATGGTGATGTTACGAGATACTACAGTGATGTTATGGTGATGTTACGAGATATTACAGTGCTGTTATGGTGATGTTACGATATATTACAGTGATGTTATGGTGATGTTACGAGATATTACAGTGCTGTTATGGTGATGTTACGATATATTACAGTGCTGTTATGGTGATGTTACGAGATATTACAGTGATGTTATGGTGATGTTACGAGATACTACAGTGCTGTTATGGTGATGTTACGAGATATTACAGTGCTGTTATGGTGATATTACGATATATTACAGTGATGTTATGGTGATGTTACGAGATATTACAGTGCTGTTATGGTGATGTTACGATATATTACAGTGCTGTTATGGTGATGTTACGAGATATTACAGTGCTGTTATGGTGATGTTACGATATATTACAGTGATGTTATGGTGATGTTACGAGATATTACAGTGATGTTATGGTGATGTTACGAGATACTACAGTGCTGTTATGGTGATGTTACGAGATATTACAGTGCTGTTATAGTGATGTTACGATATATATTACAGTGCTGTTATGGTGATGTTACGAGATATTACAGTGATGTTATGGTGATGTTACGAGATATTACAGTGATGTTACGAGATATTACAGTGCTGTTATGGTGATGTTACGAGATACTACAGTGCTGTTATGGTGATGTTACGAGATATTACAGTGCTGTTATGGTGATGTTACGATATATTACAGTGCTGTTATGGTGATGTTACGAGATATTACAGTGATGTTATGGTGATGTTACGAGATATTACAGTGATGTTATGGTGATGTTACGAGATACTACAGTGCTGTTATGATGTTACGAGATATTACAGTGCTGTTATGGTGATGTTACGAGATATTACAGTGCTGTTATAGTGATGTTACGATATATATTACAGTGATGTTATGGTGATGTTACGAGATATTACGGTGCTGTTATAGTGATGTTACGATATATATTACAGTGATATTATGGTGATGTTACGAGATATTACAGTGCTGTTATAGTGATGTTACGATATATATTACAGTGCTGTTAAGGTGATGTTACGATATATATTACAGTGCTGTTATAGTGATGTTACGATATATATTACAGAGCTGTTATAGTGATGTTACGTGATATTACAGTGGTGTTATGGTGATGTTACGGGATATTACAGTGCTGTTATGGTGATGTTGTGGTGAGGTTTATGGTGATATTACAGTGATGTTGCAGAGCTGCTAGAGAGATGTTACAGTGACGTTATGGTGAGGTTGCAATAATGATGTAGTGCAAACAAATAATGCAAACATTATTTCTGTCAACCCACACATGTCCAGTGTGTAAATACAAGCACATCAGGCCACCACAAAAACTGTTCCCTTCAGTTCAACTTTACGTGTGGAACCTGATCAGTGTTTCCCTTGCAGCGGTGCGTGAAACAGGAGTGAGAGAGCAGGTGACGCCGCAGACATTTCAGGGATTAAAAGACACCCTGTGTGCGTTCCAATACACACATGCCCCGAAGAACCACCCATGTGTGAATTACTGATGTCATCTGATCTGGGATGCAAAGTTCAGGCATCACACAGGATCAATGCCATCACAGAACGATTCTCAGCGTACCTCAGTTTTTCAGAAACATCAAAGTGTAAATGTAATTTTGGTGGCACATGATACTACAGATGCTGTATTTGAAGTGCTGTACATTGTCTATATTAATAGTGCGTAGGCTTTTTAAATCAACAGAATTACTATACAATTTTACATTTATACATGAGTATATTTATCAAATCTCAAAATCGGAGACTTAATTAAACAAGTTAGGGATTCATGATGTATCGGCCACCATATCAGTATCGGCCGATATATGTTCATTTTTAATGTTATCGATATCGGCCCAATAAGAAAATCTGGACTGTATGTTAAAGCCGACAGATAATGTAATATTTCTTTCAGCTGAGACACTTCAGATGCGCACTGCTCAACATGATGCTTTTAAATTGCTTGAAATATGATTGGAATCACTTCAAAAAGGAAAATACTTTCAAAACATATAAAAAATTCAGATTTAGATTTATCAGGCGATGTATCGATTATCGGCTTTCAAATACAAAGAATTATAGGTTTTCAGTATCGGCCAAAATTTTCATATCAGTGCATCCGTATAATAAATATGTGATGTGTGTTTCAGGGAAAACGCAACATGTGTCTTCCTATACTTACTGTACATTACAGTAAAATACTACAATAGTAAATTCTATAATTTTGCTGTTATTTAGTTATGTTAATATTTTTATTTAGTAATAATAATACATTTACTAAATTATCATTATTTTTTTTAAAGCCATATTGATGCATAATCAACAAACACTGCGAAACGATTTTAAAGTCGCAATCTTCATTCTGAAAAATCGGGTACTTACCATAGTACTAACAGTAAATGACGCATAATTACATGCAACTAACCCTTAACCAAATCTATAACCCTATAGTAAGTACATGTTGTTAATTAAACATTACTCAGTATTTAAATGTATAATTACACTGTAACAATGACACCTTAAAATAAAGTGTAGCCAAAAATCACTATTAGATTATTCCTCTAGTCTAAATGGAGCAGCAATGCCCGTCTAAAAGCAGGATCAGCACTCAATAGTGGCTGGACTGCTCAAGCCCTGCCCGCTTTAAAGGCCGTCACCCACCGATCGCTGCCACTTTGATGAGTCGGGCGTCGAGGCCGCTTGATATGATCTCTCGGAGCAGCTCGGCCTGGTCTCGGCGCCACAGGTACGCCAGCGGCTGGAGCTCAAGCCTCGCACACCTGCGGAGAACACACACACACCACAAGTGGAGAACGGAGAGGAACAATGCAAACTGAGCAGGCGTGCAAGAGGACATAATGGATGTGAAGAGAAGAGAGGGCGGCACTCCCACACCACTTCAAACACTATTTGTTAAAGGGGTCATCGGATGCCCGTTTTCCATCTTTAGAGACTTTGTGTAAAGTTTGTAACACACTTTGGTTAAAATTCCTCAATGCTTGTGTAAAACAACACCCTTTAACCTTCTCAAAAACAGCTCTGTTCACAGCGACCCGTTTCAGTGCATGCCTCTTATAATAATAATAAACAGTCCGTCAGTGGTCGAGGGCGTAAAATTATAACTTTTTGAACTAGCATCTGGTCAGTGATGAAATGTAATGTATTGCGTGTTTTGTTTTTGTGTTTTTTCTTAATAAAGCACACTGGTCAACTGCTGTTGCGTTTAGTTGTGCTGTAGAAATAAAAGTGACATTGACATCGACAATTAGCACTCGCTCTCCGGCTTGGCTGAACGCCAGCGCTACGCTCATGTGACATGGGTGGACGTCAGCTCAACGCTAGCGCCACGGGTCAAAGCGAGAGCGCAAGTGATTAGCGATTAGCACGATACGCTGTGCCCCTCGGCATCATGGGATGTCAAGTATACAGGTAGGGTTACACCACTTATCCTGCGGAGGAACAATAGCTGACTGACAGCGGTATGTGCGGATACATGCACAGCTCGAGTGAGGCGCAGGGAAACCGGCTGTGAAATATATCACTAGTTTAATGCTAGTCAATTGACTAAATGACTCAATGACATGATGTGTGTTGTGTGTGAGGAAGGGAGACTTACACGTTTTCCACACGTATCCTCTGGTAGTCGGACAGAATGGCCCCGACGGACACGGCCTCCACACACACTTCCTCCTGAACACACAGATCATCAGATGGAGGACGGATATCAGAGATGCTCAAATCATACACACGCAAACATCATGAACATCATGCTGGGTGCATTAATCCACACGCACTTCCTTCACGTGGCGTAACCACACACACATGACCAGCGTCGGCCAATAGTGAGCCTGCGTGTGACGTACACAGAAGCGCTGCGCTGTTGCACTACGTGAACTCGAGGCCCACAGAGAACATCATGAATAGTTAAATAAAGTTGTTATATTTGTTCGTTTTTGCGCACAGAAAGTATTCTCGTCGCTTGATAAACTTAAAGGGTTAGTTCAGCCAAAAATGAAAATTAAGTCATTAATTACTCACCCCCATGCTGTACCAACCCCGTAAGAACTTCGTTCGTCTTCGGAACACAAATAAAGATATTTTTGATTGAATCTGAGAGCTGGATCACTCCTCCATAGACTGCCTAAGGGACTGGCTCTTGACGGCCCATAAAGTCATTAAAGAAAATGTTTAAATATTCCATGTGCCTACAGCGGCTCAATTATAAGTTTATCAAGCGACGAGACTACTTTTTGTGCAAAAAAAACATAAATAACGACTTTATTCCACTATTCCATTACTTCCTTATGGGCGCATGCGCGAGAACTGAGACGAGGACGTTCTCCTTCGTCTACTTCTTGTTACCGGCTGCTCACCGCTTAGGAGTTTTACCGCCCCCTACCGTATAAGATGACGATCCATATATAAGGCGCTCCGGATTATAAGGAACACTGTGGTTTTTTGAGAAGATTAAAGGCTTTTAAGTGCACCTTATAGTGCGGAAAATACGCTAATTGAAAAGCGTATGTACAGCGCGCATCTTCCTCTGCTTGTAAACAGAAAGTTTTGCGCTTCCAGCTATATCAGCACGTCATCTTATACGGTAGGTGGCGGTAAAACCCCTAAGCGGTGAGCAGCCGGTAACAAGAAGTAGACGAAGGAGAACGTCCTCGTCTTGGTTCTCGCGCATGCGCCCATAAGGAAGTAATAGAATAGTCGAATTAAGTCGTTATTTATGTTTTTTTCGCACAAAAAGTAGTCTCGTCGCTTGATCAGTCCCTCCAGGATTTCACGATTTTTTTTTTGTGATTTTTGCGATCAAAATGACTGATTTTGTGGTGGTAATTTCCAAAAATTTGTGAAAAAATTTGCGATTTATATATAACATTTACCATACTAGTATTCAGTCCTTCCAGAAAAACGCGGAGTTTTTTTGATTGATTACGCGGCCCGTTTTCTTAAAAAAAGCGATGGAATATGCGGCATATTTATGCAATTTTATGCGATGAAATTGCAGAAATTTGCAAAAATTGCGGGAACTTGCAAAAATTGTGGTTTGATGAAAAAGAGAAAAAAAGTGATTCCCCCAACATCCTGTTCTCACTCGGCTAATGTAAGAGTCATTTCTTATTACTTCCTTTGATAAGCAAGCATACTACATCATAGAAAGTGCTGGGAATATTTAATTTCTCATCTTGTTTTATTTCAGACTGTAACGAGTGTAAATAAGGTGTGGCCCCTTTAAGAGCTCTCTGCAGTGTTATATGTGCGCCTCGAACACCCCATGTGTGCGGGTAATTTCTGTTTGATGCTACTTCTTTTATCTTATGTTGTTTATTAAGTAACGATGTGACGGTAGAACGTGTGACAGACAGTTATACGAGTTCGATTTGTGAGATGTCGATCGCCTCCGTGAGTCTGTCTGGCGTCGCGTAATTGCGTCACTTCATAACGTTCCCATGGAAACAGGGGGAAATGGCTGCTCTTGTGTGAAGCAAACGCAACATTTTTCAACTTTCTGCTAAGATACATGTGACTTTTTTTGCAACGAAAATGCGAGGATTATGAAATTATGCAAACCCCGCATATTTTGCACGGAAATCGGCAATTTATGCGGCGAAAGTGCGGCTTAGTCGAAAAAATGCGGCCCCCGCATAAATATGCGGACCTTGGCTGATTTTGCATTGAATTCAGCGATCGCATAATCACGTTTTTCTGGAGGGACTGCTTGATAAACTTACAATTGAGCCGCTGTAGGCACTTGGGATATTTAAACCTTTTCTTTAATGACTTTCTGGGCCGTCAAGAGTCAGTCCCTTAGGCAGTCTATGTAGGACTGATCCAGCTCTCAGATTCAATCAAAAATATCTTCATTTGTGTTCCGAAGACGAACGAAGGTCTTACGGGGTTGGAACAGCATGGGGGTGAGTAATTAATGACTTAATTTTCATTTTTGGGTGAACTAACCCTTTAATGTTGAGCCGCTGTAGTCACTCGGACTATTTTAACGATGTCTTTAAAAACCTTCTGGGTCGGCCAGTTTCAATTCCACAGAAGCCTGTGGAGGAATGATCCAGCTCTCAGATTAAGCTTAGGATTTAGGGAAACACAAAGTACACAAAACACTCAACGTACCGCGTAAATGCGCGTAACTAGCATAAATCAAGCTAGCTAGTGTGCATAGGCCACGCAGTGTTAGCGGAATAACACATTAGTGGAGAGGAGAATCTTTTCAAGAAAACTTCTTAGAAAACAAAATAAATTCATGCACTTTTAAGGACCTGTATCTGTGTGTGTTTTTCAAAGTCTTTCCAGGGCCTTGAATTCTTTTTTCAGATTCCCAAACTTTCGAGGATGTGGCGGGATCCTGCTCACGTAAACACCTCACATGTCTAATCCACTCCAACGCAGACTTTACACAAAGTATGGCAGCCAGTTTTAAATGATCTGGAACACAGAGTTTTGATTTAGTTATTTGGATTTTGCCGATTAGTGCTAATAGTTTGCAAGGAAAGTGTGTACTCTTTTTTTGTGTTTGCTTTGTATATATTGTTAATATATAGTTGAATATATTGTTAAAAAACAAACCATCATGTAAACATCCCGAATACAGAAGATCCAGCAGCGCCAGTCAACACGGTGATAAACACACACTCATATTAACACACGTCACAGTGTATCAACCTGAAACCGCAAGTACTGAGGCTGAATCTGAAATCTCAGGCACAGTTCATCCTGGTGGTCAAACTCCAGACGTGAACATGCGGGGTCACGCCACTGCTAGAACGTGCGGGGTAACGGCAGACGTGAACACGCGGGGTAACGGCACTGCTGGAACGCGTCCGCACTCATGCCTTCAGCAAACTCAGATAAGCCTATCGCTCTCTGTCATCACTAAACTAGCCTGTGCAAACCACATTAGGCAGAACACACACACACACACATTACAAGAGCTTCAGGCTACACTCTTTATCTGGAACTGTGTTGTGTGCGTGTGTGTGTGTGTGTTTGTTACCACGCCGATTCAACGTGAACCACTGATTTAATTTAAAAAAAAAAAACAATTAGCAAATTCAGAACAATTCAATTTGTTTCAGGATAATTAGATGCGAGTAATAATAACTATAGTCAGATAATGTGCCTAATGGCATTCTGATAAATATATACACTATATTATATATCTGTATATGAAGAGTTCAGATGCAAAAGCCTCTAAGTGCCATTTGAAATTTTCTTCTAGAATGATCATTTTTATCAAGCTTGTATGTTTAAGTTCAGTGATTTCACTTAAATTGCAATGAAGATTACCTATTAATTGTCATTTAAGTGAAATTACTGAACTTTAATATACAAGCTTGATAAAAATGATCATTCTAAGAAGAAAATTTCAAATGACACTTAGAGGCTTTTGCATCTGAACTCTTAATATACATATTTATAATATTTTTTTTTTATATAACCTGTAAGTAATATCTTCATTATTTAAATGAATCATTAATTAAAATAAGGTATTATAGTTTATTGTCAATTGAAATGTTTATATTTAACCAACAAAGGGGAGTAGAAACATTATTAAATAGTGTTATTAAAAAGTTGATATAAAAATGCCTTATGTGCAATTAAAATGTTTAGTGCCAAACTTAGTTTGAGCTATTTGATTGTTTGCTTGATTATTGATTATAAATTGATTTATATTATTTAGTTTTGATTTTTCGGCCAAGTGCAACCTGAATCTTCAGTTTTGACCCACAATTTTCATTTTGGTGCATCCCTATTTATATATATATGTGTGTGTGTGTGTGTGTGTGTGTGCGTGTGTGCGTGTGTGTGTGTGGGTGTGTGTAAAATAAATACATGTTAACCAGACAAAGCTGCATATACAAAGTACACAATATACACATATAGGGGTGACAAACAGAACTAATAATATATACACGTACAGTGATAATTTTAATGAATAGGTTATTCCAGTGTGATATAATAACATTGTCAAACATTCAAATTTTTTTTAAATTGAAATGCTTTTGATATTACATATACTTATATATAGATATAAACTCACTGAGTGAGTAATATATATCTAGACAATTTGAAACAATCATAACAATAATATTTGTGGTAATAGTAATAATAATAGTGTATAGTGCAATAATTATATATTATATATATATATATATATATATATATAATTAATATTAACTCTGCTGATAATGACACTAATATTAATATTAATATAGTTTAATGCAACTTTAGACCAGTCTGCAAAATAACTGCAAAATAAAAAGACTAAATGTAAAGGCCTAAACGAAAGCCGAGCAGTCGCTCCGTGCCGCTGTCGGTCGATGCGAGGACACGACGCCGAGTCTCAGAACGAGGAAGCGTTACATCGTGACGACGAGCTGCTGAATGTAAATGTCATGTGGACAGTAATGAAATAAGCTCTTGTGTAAGCGGTACGAGTGTTCACAGGTGAAGCGCTCCTCTATTAGCCCTCGCATCGATCGGGCGTCCCGGGACCGACCCCAGAGGTCATCATTTATGTATTAAGCAGGTTTAAAGGTATCCATTTCTTTTTATGTTCTTTTCCAGCAGTAATGTGGAAGTAATCAGAGACGGGTTTGATATTTCTGCGCTCCTGACACCTCGAGCGATCGATGTCCCGCAGAAACCCACCTGGACACAGAAGCGCTGGA